CCGTGAGATAAACAAGTCTCTGGGCAATAAAGTGCGGTCACCTCAACACTGAACACACAAAGCGTCAAAGTTGTTTACGGATTCGTGCATTTACTGTGGGGCTGGGAATATTAGATTTGCATCGGTTGAAGTTTTGTCATGGTGTGGGAAGTGGGGAAATGGAGCATATTGAGTTTTCATTTCGAGTTCATAAATACTTTGTTAATTGAATCATTTCGAGAATTCGTCTCAAGGAAAGCAGGTTTAACTCCCTTCTTCAATGAGGCATATTATCCTTGGATCTGAATTGTAACGCTTAAACTGTGTGAAGTAGATAGAATTTTATTAATTAATGAAGTTCATGTTTTTTGAATTACATTAACGGTCCCGACGCATCTTGCTTAATCAGGCAATATGCTGTATATTAACGCCGGGAGAAAGGGCAATCTACAGGATCTTCAGGATTACTGGGATGTGGCAACTTTCTTCGAAGTGTCTGTCCTTTGGGCTGACTACGCAGGGGCGGTAAAAGCTGCTAGATACATGCACAAACTGAATCCGCCTTCGTGGTGAGTGGTCCTTTATTCGCCTCATATGGTCTATTGAACCCATATTTTAAATATTGATCGTTTGGAGGACGGAGAGGTTGTGCTCCTCAAGATGCTGGACACTGGCCAATGTTCCATATGTTTCTGATGTCAAAACATCCATCGTCAGTGATCTTTACAACTAGCTTCATATTCCAGCAATGCACGAATGCTAATACTGGGTTAGATTCAAGGTAAAGTGTGTGAAATGGTGTACTTTTTAAATCGCTGAATGCAGGACTCAAAGTCAGTTTCCATATTGTAACTACCAGGTGCCTGATTAGACCACAAACGTTCTTACTGCTACACTGCTACTTGCTTCCCCAGTGTTGTTGCAGTCGACTACCGCTGTTACATTTCATTTGTCCCCTGAATCGCAAAATAAATATGGTCAACGCGTCTACTGATAGGTAGACGATATTTCATTGTAGTTGTTTCTACTTCATATTACTTCGTATTGGTCGGTTGCTTTAAAACAGCAGTGCGAAGTCGCTTCTGTTGAGTACATGTTTACGTTGAGTTGTCATTATTACCGAGGTTGCTATACCACTAAATACCTGTTTTTGAGTTTGAAGTTATTTACCATG